GACAGGTGGTGGTGCATCTGGATAGCCAGGCTGGGTTCACGCCGGGGTCGAGTCGGCGCAGTTCCGTCGCGGAGGTGTCGGAGCCCGTCGAGGTCGTGTTGCGTCTGAGCTATGTGGTGCCCGGCGTGAGCTGGAGCTCGCGCTATGAGCTGCGCATTAACACGCCGTCGTCGTCGGCGCGGATGGCGTATCGCGCTGAGTTCCGGAACTCGAGCTCGGAGACGTGGACGGATGCGCGGGTGACGCTGTCGACGTCGCAGGCGTCGTTTTCTGGGCTGGAACAGCGCATCCCCTCGTTGCATCCTTGGCATATTAAGTTGTTGGATGCCATTCGGGAGAACCAGGAGCATCCTTCTTGGGAGAAGATTCTGAGGGGTGGTGAATCGAATCGATCTGTAAGTGGCTGACCCTGATAGCGTACGAGTTTGTCAGGGATGAGTTGATGATCTAATGGGAAATGTAGCTTGTGAAAACGGGTGGGCTATTTGGAACTCGTCCCTCGGGGAAGAGTTCCTTTGGAATGGCTTCAGCGCAACTTCAGAAGGGTTTTGGATTCGGGCAACCAGCATCTTCAGGTCTTTTTGGAGCTCCGCCAAACCAGAACCAAAACTCGGCGGGGTCTGGCTTTGGTGCGGCGCAATCATCTACAGTCAGTGCTTTTGGGTCGCCGCCAAACCAGAACCAACCTGGCCCGTCCGGGGGCCTTTTTGGAGGGCAAGCTCCCCCAGCACCAAATCAAACGAGCAATACAGGAGAAGCACCGGGTCATACCCAACAGGCGTCATCTGGGGGATCCGTATTTGGGAGAGCTACTGCTGCAGCAGTAGCAGCAGCAGCAGCAGCAGCCACTCAGAACCAAGAGCCAGGTCCCACTGACCACGCAGATGAGGACGACGAGGGTAGCGAAGACGAGGCGGACAACGACATCGACACCATAGCTTCAGCGTCCCTCGAACACCAAGAATCAGTCAAGCAAGACTACGGACTCACGACGACCTACGATCTTCCCGGACAGCGGACGCTCATCCCCTCGAGCAACAACAGACGCCATGTGCTGGCCGACCTGGACCTGAAGTCAGTCACCCTTTCACATCTCATTGTCCCGAAACACAGCGCAGAAGCGTTTTACCGCGCACGGATCAAGAACACCTCGGCGTTGCGGCTTATGCGCGGCAGAGTGGGTTTGACTGTTGATGGAACGTTCCTGGGCACGGCCACGATCCCGAACTGTGCGCCGGGCGATTTCTTCAGTGTCTCCTTGGGCGTGGATCCCTCGATCCTGGTGACCTATGGTAAACCAACGGTGCGACGGTTGAACACCGGGTTCTTCACCGGACAGGTCGGGGCTGTGTTCCGGCGCACGTGTTGGATCAAGAATACCAAGGGCGTGGCGGCGGATATCACGGTATTGGATCAGGTGCCGGTGAGCGAGGACAAGGAGCTACAGGTGGAGATCCTGGAGCCAAAGGGGTTGCATGACAAGGGTAATGAAGTGAAGCTGGACATGGAAGCGAGCCATGGAAATGGAAAGGCCATTATGGAGAAGAAGGGAGAGGTTAAATGGGTTTTACATTTGGAGCCAGGGAAGGATGTGCGGGTGGTGTTGGAGTATGGAACGAAAGCGCCGAGAGGGAGCGAGGTGGACACTGCATGAGTCTGGCTATAGTACACTATAGCGTACCCTAGTATTGACAACGCAACGCAGGCTATACATCCATCACCAACTATGAACCCTAAAACTCCAGATTAAAACAGCACCCAATCTCCAGCATAAGATCAAAGTGTACCCCGAATAAGAAAATATGGTTTCTCACGACTATCGCTAAATCAGTACACAACAGCAATTATACCAATGCCGTCATGACCACCCTTGTGCAAACTAGAGAGCATCCACAAGGTCCACTCCAATCTGACATACCTTACCAGACACGCCAAAGTCCTTTGTTCGCGACGGGTGGTGTTTGGTTGGACGGGACGTTGATATTTGTTGAGGTTCATTCCAGGATCAAATCAATAGTCTTCAGGGCAAGTATAATACGTTGAATTCGTGACACAGTATCGTGTTAGTCTACAAGCCGTATATCGAATACTTCAGGAGCTATGATAGTTATATTGATGCTGTTGTGACTACAAGCGCGTCGGATCCCAATCCGGACTAGTGCAGCGGATGGAACGGGAATGGTGGGTAAATCGAAACGGGTAATTTAAGTAGCGCTAAAGATAGCATCGCAAAAGTGGAAACTTGCCCCGGGGTAAAAGCTTGCCTCGTTCATGTCAACCGTGCTTTGATTTGGTTGAGATAGTATATAGAATGTTTCTTCTGAGTCAGTAGCTTTGTGCAAGTCATGGTCCTTGTAAGATTAGTGGGTTCAGTGGTGTACGGTATCCAAGTTATGTACGGAGTATTGTACGATGATCTACTCAAGTGTAGGCTCAAGATATATATTCACCCCAGGGCTCTTGAGATGATATCTGGACCACCACGAGGAGCCATTATCGCTTCAATTGTATCCCGCATAGTGGTTCATACTAAACATTACACTAGCCTCGACAGTGCCACTTGAATTACTCTCATATTCTGTCTACCACTGGATATGAACGTCAAACTGATTCCCTCGTCCTAAGCTGTCTAACCGAGGCAAACAAACACGGGGCTCTGATGCCTCAGGCTGCGACAACGGCAAACTGCGGCTATCACGGGAATTGCTAGCCCTGACATCACCCTTGAAAGATGTCGTCCCTTTCCCAATATACAGTCCTGCGTACAGCAAAAGCCTTAGGTAATTCCATTCAGTCTCGCTGACTATCGAGAATTCAATCCATGTCAAACCATGCAGTCCAGCTACGAGCTATGTGTCATGTGTCATGTCATCGGATTCTCATCAGCTAGCAAGACCGAAAATCGGAGGAAACGCGGGAAATTTCGGCGAGTCACAGGAACTTCCCTGCAACCGTTAAGCGCAAGCTTAAGTTCGACCAAGATTCGACTGCAGCTTCGAACCTGTTCATCTGCTGCAATCCCTGCTACATCCGGCATGCCAGATAGATTAATTCAAGGTTACGTAATGGTGCAGGGAGGCTGAGATCGCCCATATCATAATTTTTTCCATTCATCCACGAGAGAAAAGGGATGGAATCCAGGGTTTCTGGGAAAAGTATTTATAGGGCGGACAGATCAATTGTCAAGATAGGGAAAAAGAGAAAAATAAAAAAGAAATCAAGGGGAGGCAGTTATATGAGACCTGTCGGGTTACTCTTTTTTTTCTTTTTTTGGTTGATTTTATTATTATTATTACTTTGATTTTCCATTCTTGGCTCTGCATCCCAGGGTGAGATTAAATTTTGGGATTAGTGCTGACGAGCACAATAATTTCGGGTCGTCCACCGACGGGTCATTTTCGTCCAAGTCGGGTTCTCCCCAGAAAGGATTTCTCTGATGTATCCAAACCTATATAACCTGGACACTACCCTCGGAAGGGAACTGAGTGCTCCAGGAGCAAAAATGGGGATTGGGGAGGAGTGCGTGGTTGCAAAGGAGCCCGCCGTCAGCATTCCTGTCTGGTTGCCCTGAACCGACCAAGCGTGGCGGATTGTCCTAAAACGGGAGAATGGGTCCCAATAGGAGAGTCGGTGAGCTCATCCTATCCTCAGAGATCCGGACTAGTGTTTCCCTAGTTCGGGAAGTTCGAGTTTGCTCTCCGTGGAAAAAAAAGGGCTGTGCCTGTTGACCTGCATTTATATAACCACTGCTACCCGGGTGACAATCGAGCAATTGCAGAGGAATTTCCTTCTACCCGAAGTCATTGGCTTTGTCTTCCCTCGGGTCAACCATGAGTGTCGCCAATAATCCTGCTTTCGTTTTTTTTTAATTTTTTCCTGAGACACCTCACTTGTTATGACTTTCATTTTTGTTTGCGAAACTCCGGTGCTGGTGGAGCCGCATGCCCGATTCGGCCCGGTTGATTCGAGTCCGAGAAAAAGACCAGAAATTAGCTTGCCGGCTGCAGGTCGACATTGGTTGATTGCGGTGCGCCATGTGGGTCCGAACCGGTCCATCGGACCCATCCGTGAATGCAGGGATCCACCCTGGCTGAAATTTCTCTTCCCTTTTTTCGGCCTCCTGATGCATACCGTAGCCCTTCTTTTTTTTCTTTTTTTCCTTGTAGCCGGGCAACTGTTACTTGGGGGATGGGGAATAGGATACATCGTAGGGTATTTGTACTCAGTAGGACAAGACAGACGGACAGAAAAAAAAATGGGGTCAACCAAAAAGGAATTGCCATGGCAATTGGCGTAAGATACCAATGGGTCCGGATGGAGCTTCCAGTGGATGCCCGTTTCGCACAATCGCAACGGAGACTCGTCGACCAGCACATCCAGCTCCATCCGCGGACCTGCGCGGCCACCCAGCAGCAGGAATAATTGGCTGTACCACAGGAATCCTCCCTTGGCCCCCTCCCGAACGAACCCGATCAGTCAGAGGCATCCCTGGGCAACAAAGGATGTGCGTGGAAAGATAGGGATATACACGCAGTAGGGCTTTTTCCCAACAGCGCACTAAGACCGACGGGGGGCCGGGTGTGTGGGAAAACGAGCGAAAATTTAGCGGGAGAGTATTTATGTCCCGGAAGGCCTCTGTTGTCAACTTCTCCAGCTTTTTTCCCTCCTAAAAAGTTCTGTCTACCCATTCTTTTCCACCTTCTCTCCTCTCACCAGAGAAAAATCATATCCTAAATTACCATCACAATGGCCTCCTCTCGTGTCTTTGCCTCTCGCCTGGCCTCCCAGATGGCCGCAACCACCAAGGTTGCCCGCCCGGCCGCCCGTTTCGCTGCCCCCAAGCGTACCTTCACCACCCAGCGCAAGACCGCTATCCCCATGACCCCCTTCCAGACCGTCAAGCGCCAGCAGCCTTCCATGATCCAGGCCAACGCTCGCCAGGTCTTCGCCAACGTCCAGGCCCGCCGCCAGTACTCCTCTGAGATCGCCGACGCCATGGTCCAGGTCTCCCAGAACATGGGTATGGGTTCCGCCGCCATTGGTCTTGGTGGTGCCGGTATCGGTATCGGTCTCGTCTTCGGTGCCCTCCTCCTCGGTGTCTCCCGCAACCCTGCCCTCCGTGGCCAGCTCTTCTCCTACGCCATTCTTGGTTTCGCCTTCGTCGAAGCCATTGGTCTGTTCGACCTGATGGTTGCTATGATGTGCAAGTACGTTTAAACGGATCGTTGGCAACAACCAGTCTATCCGAAAGGGCATATGAGGCAAATGCAATTTCCTTGAATTCTCAAATGGTCAAATTGAATGGAAAGTCTTTATCGATTTCGCCGTTCAGTTAGGAGGTAATCTTGTGGTGGTCTTTTTATATATCATGTACTACTTTCCCGGCATCATCTATCATCCCAATACACTGTACATATAGAGTTTAAAATGGCCACTAAAACTCCCAACTTTCGAGCCACTCTGATAAACTCGTTTTAATTTTCGACCTTGTATATTATCTGTTTTTGCTCTACTTGGGCTGGCCCACGGAATACGTGTTCTCTTGTTTACCCCGGACTTTTTCGTCCAGAACGCGTTGTGTCAACGAAAAGAGACAGACGGCAATTGGGGACTGACTGATCCCCCTACCTTCCCACAAGCAGCAATCGGTCCCGTGGCTTTTTTCCTTCCCTACGAACAAGCTATTCGAGCTAAGAAGCTACCAAATCTGGAGAAAGCTTTGTTTGGTGAGCTCCTCCAGCCGTAGAGATCGTTTACAGGTACACCGCTCACAGAGGCCATTTCCCGGTGGATAACGGGAAAGAAGCTTCCCCGGCCACGTTGGCCATAACTGGCGGTGGCAGGGGCAATTGCCCTTGACCCGGTTCCATCAGCCATATCAGACGACAAGAATGTGAGACTACCAAGGCAGACGAACAAAGAAACCAAGAACGAACTCAAAAAACAAGCCAGGTCGTAGAATGATTATGAAACACCGCCTCCACGCCAGGGCGTAGACACAACTCGGCAAGACCTGACCTGACCTGACCTCACTGAAACATCAGCCTCAGAGATTGCAAAGGGTTGACAACTGGTTGTGCCGTGTGGATCTCGATCCGGATCGTGGACGTCACCGCTCACCACCAACGATTTGCCGCGGACCAGAATTGGGCGCTGGCCAAAAAGAAGGTCCCAGGTGTTGATGAAAAATTTTTACTTTTGATTGTTTTTCCAAGAGTCATAATAAAGTCACACGAAAAGCCACCTGCAGCACACCATTGCATTCATTCATGCATGAAGAAAAATTTTTTTTTCTTCCTTTCGCGGCTACCACCCAACAATGGTTGGCCCTGACAGCTCAGACCATGTCCGTGATAGCTCCAAGATCCTCGGTAGAAGCGCAGGAGCTAATGACGGACTAGAGCTGCGCCAAGGGGCTCTGGTCCTTGTCCCATGATACTTTGCCCATTGACGCAGGTCCACTCGTCGCTTCTTCGATCCCTGTGATGATCGCTTTCATTTCTTGAGCTTTTGACTCTCGCACAGCAACAAGTACGGTAAGGGGTTTGCTGAGACTGGTGAATCATGTATGGCATCTAGAACCCCAATTAGCTTTTCTTCTGGATTTTTTCCCCCTTGGATGTCGTGTCCTTTGGGGGTTCTGGAGAGGGCCGACCACGTGACCGGTATCGGGCGAGGCCGTCCTCATGTGACGGGCTCGGGATTCCTTCTACAACAAAGTCCGCAGGTTGAACCCTACTTCCATTTCTCCGTCTGGAAAGATCAGAATATCGGTCTATTGTAGACGATTCTCCAGCGACTAGAAGGGCGATATATCTACCGTCCAAAACGACATCCCACTATACTCCTTGTAACTGTGTCCAAACCAACCCCCCGACCCTATTATAATCAATATATTCGGCACGAAAATAAAGCGGGATATAATTCTTCCCTGCACGAGAATCCTCGGCATCCGTATCCAGTAGACATCCAGACATCCAGACATCTATAACCCCCAAACTGCCAGAAAAGTAAAGCACACAAACACCGTCAAACTACCCCCAAATCAAAGCCAATACCCAGATCTCAAAATGACAACAACAACAAGCCAACCGCAGCAAGAACCCCCCCAAAAAAGCTTCACAGCCCACCTAATCGCCTCCTTCACATCCCCCATATCCTCTCTCCCCACGCCAGCCCCAGAAGCCCTCTACAAGCCCGCAGAAGTGCCACGGATCAAGAAGGCAAAGAGACTGACGGGCACGCGCACTAAGCAGCTCATCCGCGCTGCGGACCGCGGCCATGATGATCCGCCGCCGCCGCCGGGGCTGGGCGAGTGCTGTGGGAGCTCGTGTGATCCGTGCGTGACTGATCTGTGGAGAGAGGAATTGGCGTGCTGGAGGGAGCGTTGGGGGGAGGTGCTGTGGAGAAGAAGAAGGAGGAGGATCGCAAGGATGGGGAGGGTAGGATTACGGGGGGAGGGAGGTGTACTATGCCTGGGAGCTTTGATTGGTGATTTACTTTTTTTTTTTCTTATTTATGTATGTATGAATAGATGGAGTTTTATGAGGTATGGTTTACTGCATTTGTTTGGTGCATGGGTTAGATGGTGTTGGTGGTGTATGTGCTGATGCTGGTTTAATGTTTAGATCTTTATGGATGTTATATTAGGTTCATGGTTGAATGACAGCATGTGTATATATGTATTTGCATGATTGGGGAATGCACATATCATTTCCAACACGAAATCATCGATATATGGTCAAGCTTACGTTCGACTGAAGCGTAACACATACCATGGTCTTCGTCCTCAGCGGTGCCCTTTTCGTATCGGAGACATAACTGTTGTCTCTGCGAATGCAGACCTCTCGACATTTTCTATTCATTGCTTTTCTCAGACTTTCGCTTCCCTTGAACCAACGCATGCAGTCGATTTTCTGTGACTATGAGCAGTGTACGATTGACTTCCTCAGGATCAATGCTGCAAGCTCCCCGGAACCTTCCATACGTTCTCCGGCTCTTTGGATGTCAATGTACTGCTGGCGGCTGCGATCCTGAGGGTATAAAAACCTACCTTGCGGACGACTTTGCGAATCAAAGGGTCTCACAGAAACCGATCTCGTCGTGCTCACCCAGACAAACCACTATACCAGCATATTTGAGTAAGGACTGAGGTACCGAATGGTAAAGACTCTCAAGCGGATACTCCACTCATAAGCACGCTATAGTGTGATTGATTAGTACTAAGAAGGAGAGCTGGGTGCACCGTGACGATACAGCTCGATGTAGCCCGATACCTGATGATTTGGCCCTTTGTTCCATTTTACAAGAACAACCACGTTCACTTGGGTAGACTCTTGAGTCCACAGACTTTTCTTCTGTAAGAGATGTGGATACGATTCCGAATATCCCACTTCCACGACTACATAGCTTGTGTGCAGTCTGCGTGAGCGAAATCATTGCACCCAGACATGGTGGGATGCAATACTGATTCGGGATATGAAAGGTTCAAAAGAAAAAGTATTTCAATTCTGGTTCTTCCTAAAGATTAGTCTTCCTCGCTGGTCGATGTTCCCCGCGGGTTTCATGCCGAGTATTTTCAGTATCGTCCCGCAAAGCCTGTGGTCTATTTTATTTATGCGGGTTGAGTACAAATAGGTCGTCGTCGATGTTCTTCCATAGTGACCTTGGTTTCTCGCCCATACTTATCCAGAAGATAATCAGGTATTACGCTGGCTGGCTATATCCACACCAGCGGACAGACCTGGCTCGCGGATTAACCGCCGCTCTCGGCCAGAGAGGGTTGCCAGCCTGTCCAGGGGGTAAAGGGACTTTGATGGTGAAAGTTTCAATATCGGGAAAGTATGTGAACAGGACCTTGGGCCCGAGCTGGTCGCGTTTGGTATCGATCAATTCAAATTCCCTCTGCAAAACATGCTTCAGCAAGATATATTGGCCCAAGACAGCGGGCCCTCGCTGCACTGGAGTATGAAGGACATTTCGCACGGTTAACCGCTCTAAGGAAGTTACCCATTACAGTGTTTTCCCCATTCCTTTTGTTTTAGTACCATTCCAAAGCCTTTGTCCTCCTTCATAATCCACTTAATGTCAGTGCGCATGGATTTGTTCCATGGAAAAACTGAGCCAGAATTGCGTGTATACGCTGGACTATAGGTATCATAGCTTTTAATCGAGCGCATATTCGTTAAAATCCTACCGATAGTATAAGCTTTGTACCTATCTTCTAGAATAAGTGTTCAACCAAGTTATCGCGTTATCAAAATCCAGAGCCGTACTGCAACAAAGGCGGGCAGGCCTTTAAGCTCCAGCCCAAGTCATAGGAATAAAACTTAAGAATCATCGCTTTTTGGATATAATTGATACTTGATTACCATTGATCTTCCAGCAGTGGAAAAAAGGGTACCAGTGTGGCAATAATGCGTTCCTTCTGACTCCGCCACGAACGGCAGTCTGTAGCAATAGATACCATGTCTTTTAAATTAACTTGAGGCATAGCCATTATGCCGTAGGGTTCTCGAGACTTTCGCAAATGGCCCACGAAGTTATATGGGGTGTCACTTGCTGGAAGTATTGTCCACAGCTGCACAAGCAGCTCAGGGCCTAAAAGAAAGGAATATAGTAATATATGGGGATCCTTTGTAATAGTTTGGATCCGTAGCTGAAATTGGCGAAGATGTGGTATTTGAAAGATCCCGATGTAGACAGTATAATATAGAAATCCGTGCGTGAACTGTATCTCGGTGGAGCCGTATATAGATTCCCAGATTCTAGGTATTCATGGCGCTTGAGGGAGTTGCCGGTCCGATGTTCAGATAGGGGCTGGTCTTCTAACCGTCGCTTTGATCGATATTGTGGCCATGCCCTAATGATTGTCCATGGATTCTGGAACAGGGAAAGTAAAATCGTCGACATTAGTGGCAGATTCAAGTCCATCTGTCTTGCGAATCCTTTTTGCTACTTCAAGGGCGTCTGCTTTGCGAAGTTTCCCGAGTCCCTGAACGTTCGTTCTCTTTCGGCCTTGGTCTGCAATACATTTTGAACGTGCCCAAAAAACTCTAGTTGTGCGTGACTACCAGTTTCGTAAAACTGGTCTTTAAACCCTTCTTTGCTGTGGCAACACAAAATCATTGGATATTGTCATTATATATAGAGAGCGTAGCTTGAGCTCCTTGTATACGTCGATTTTCTGATGCTTTTCTTAGGCGACTTCGAATTGATATTGAGCGTGCACACTTGCAGTTGTGTACTGTATAGTATTGCCGTTCAGGTCCGAGATGCAACAGACGATATGTTTGTGTCGTCAACTGCTAGGTAAGCAGTTGATAGGCTGCACCGCTCTAGCGCCTTGAACAATGCCCAAATATGGACCGAAATAAAAGTCGGCATAGCGGGTCAAGCATTCGGCCGTTAGTCCGCGCGGCTACTCCAGCTTCTGTGGCTACTACATAGTGCTCATTGTCCACTGGCACGGCGGGAATCAGGCGAAGGGCGCGATAGACACTGCCCGTACTACGGGCTGCGAGGTCCTTCATTCCATGACTTGATCCTGTGAGTGAAGTCTTCTGTGTATCTGTGAGATGGAAACTCTATACCGAGTGCCGTTGTCTTGCTGAGGAAAGACAGGGACTTATCCAAACCCCTGATGAAAAGCAACTGTAGTCCACAGACGACCACATGATCTCTTGTCCAATTAATTAATGCGGATAGAGATAGTTCATCGCCATGGTCCCAGACCCCACGCCACTACCAGGTGAGGGCCCCGGTGGTCAGCCTCAACACAGCCCAGCAACTAACTGTTCGTCAGCGAGACGATTGAGCCTTTTTATACGAATCAATCGTATATAGAGTTCGCAAGTGAGATAGCGTTGCTGACTTCGACTGATGAAAAGTCCAAGTCAACCAGATTGGATACTTTGGAGGTACTTTTGGAAACTGCTCCATAATGGCCTTGACTTCGCTATCGCATGTATGCCCAAGCGCTCTGGGAGCAGAGTAGGCCAGGGAGGAACGGCTGAACTCTTTTCGCCGAATCAATCTAAAGAAAGAGGGCAAGAGTTTCGGTTCGGCGGCGAGATGACAGGTCACACTTATTAACATGATCATCACAATGAATCGTGATCTCGGCTCACTGTCGGTGTCAAAGTCACTTATCGCAAGTACGGAATAAGCGTTCTCTAGTAACAAGGATTATCAGGTATTGTTCAGCCAGTAGCTCGCAGGCGAGCACAGATCCTCATTTACAACATACCAACAGTATCTGGTACGGGCAGTCTCTCTAAACCCTCTTCAATATCAAATTCTTCCAAAGGAAAGGGTATCAAAAGACTATTGCGGAGAAAGCTCTACCCAGCCAGGCCTTCCAGGGACCACAGTGAAGAGACAGTATCAGATGTCAAGACTGTGTAGGTACTGTGGAGAAATCGTCTGTATCGTCAATACAGAGTGGCAAACTGTGTTTGGTGGATGCAAAGGAGGATTCTGCAACTCTCACAAAACCTGGGACCAACATAACGGCCTGTGGCACTTATGGCTTAACATTGTCAATGAAGCCTTATGTATTGTGCCCATTGTCTGACATTTTGAACCGGTACGTACTGGTTCAAGAGACTGCTTGGCGTGCTTGTGATCAAAAGGATCGACAGGGCGCGTCGAGGCCGTGACGCCTGTCCGGAAACCGAGCTCGATAGTTGAGGCTACGTACTTAGCCTTGATGATGATCGTACGTGTCGAAAGTCGGCCGCTAGAAGCGAAAAGGTAAACAAACGCGACACGTGGACCTAAGTGATCGAGTTTGGAGTTTATTGGAAGGCGAAAGAGAGGGCGTAGTGTCTCTCCACAGATAGTAGCAAGCCGCCACCCCAGTAGGGGCAGTATGGTGCACGATCATCCGGGTAATCCCACGCCCGAACCTGAAGATACGACTATGAACGGCAACATTTGAGGCCCAGCGACTACTGATCGGCTCTGACTGCTGATATTCATTCATCGCCCGCTGTGTCTCGAGCGCGCAAGGCGCTGACTTTCCTAGACGAGTGGTGAGGACTTATCTGTCTCTGTAGCCATATCGTCCAACACACTTGAAACAAACATTATGATATAAGATGTTACCATCCAACATAATGTGTAGTCAGGATGTCATAAATACCACGTTGTCTAGTCTCTAGACCATCCCCTATGGCTGATGAGCGTGCGTCAAGGGACACCCAGATCCACGCCCTTCTCAACAGCAGCCGGCTTGTGTATTCGTAGGATCTGCGCTGCTCAATACAGTGCAGAAGCGAGCTAGGCGCACGAACGTTGGCAAGAGGACACGGAGCTCCACTGGACTGGGGGTCGATTGCGTTGATGAGATTCATTATGCGTTCGAATTCGTTCGCCGAGGTTTTTAGCTCGCCATCATTGAGCCAGGAGTACTGCAGTTTTCTCCCCTCCACATCCTGT